TTTTCCTTTTTTTGCAGACCATTCCCTTAAAAATCCCCAAAAGTCTAAAATTGTTCAATAATTATTGAAAAAAATAATGATACCTTTTTCAACTATGTAAACTACTCGATCATATACACACTTCCATGTACAAGCGTTATAAATAAATTATTTATGTAATTTTCTTAAGAGGGGGGGGGGGCATAAAATCAGGCCATCCCTCTTAATACTGTGGTGTAAGCTTCAAGGGATGAAAAATATTGATGGAAATGTTTCTAAAATATTATATTTTCAAAGGATTGATACATATTGTATTATAAATTATGATATCAAATATATATTTACACTGAAGGCATGGTATTGATTAAAGCTTTTTTAATCAAACATTTTTTAGGGCAAAAGTGAGATTTTCAAGATTTTTTTCTATACGATGTAATTATACTTAAATGGAATACATGCTTAATTTTAAGTGACCAGTCCATTTATAGAGTGGCATGTTCGATGTACCTTTGAAACCTTCATTTCTCCATTGTTTCTGAAGCATGATGAGCGAGTCACTTTTGTAGAGAAACCACAAATAAAAATATTCAGTTTTCAAAATGGGAAACATGGATGTTCAATGCAATGCTTGATCAGACAAAGCTTCGTACGCCCCTGTTTTTAAAGAGACTAGAATAGTAGAAGGTGATGTTTTAACATTTTTTATGTCTAAAATTGTGTTTAATTATTGAAAACGGACACCGGGTCTCTAAATTCTTTTGCCCTTAATTTTTTTTTAGGAGGAAACGTACCCCCATTTTACAGGGAGGGGGGCTTTATTATATAGATGAAAATGCCCCCCCCCCTCTCCCCCAATGCCTTCCTGTACCTCGAGTTTAAGATGGATGCAGTGGAAATTTCCTTAAATGGTTAAAACTGTTTTGAAAACATATTTTATAATGATATAAACTAAAGTGTTTTCCATTTTATTATGGAAACCATGGCGGACAGTTCTATTTACTTATTCATGTTCACGACGGTAAGAGAACTAGTTTTTTAGGAATTACAATTGTGTATTTAGAAACATGAAATAATTGTAGTTCGTTCAATTATGCAGGAATACTTACTAATAATACTTTAAAGAAACTGTAAGTGAAATTTTAAGTGACTCTCTATTCAAAGATAGCAATGTCCGATTTACAAGAATACTCTTGAAACCGTAATCTGAAGAAAAATGCGGTATCGAGAAAGATAAATTTACTTGTTTCTTTTTTTGTCAAATCTATATTAAATTATTTCAAGAATAAAATGAACTTTTATTGATGAAGATCAAATGTTACCTTTATGTGATATTAAATGAGTTGTTGTCTCATCCTTTATGGTTAACCATGTATTTTAGGATAAATTTATTTACAGATTGTTAGCAACACGTTTAAATATGCATATTAGGTATTTGAGAGCTTTCAATTGCCCTACCCCCTTACCCTTTTACCCCATCTCTCTCACAAATCCATATCTTTCGTTTATCGTTCGTTTTTTTTCTGAACAAACACCTGCGTTCACGAAATATTTCAAAAATTTCGTTCGTTTTCAAAAATTGTGTTCGTTCACCATAACGATGCCCATCTCTACTCCTGGCTTTACTTCCCTCTAAATCTAAATCCTGCCCGGGTCCAGGAAGATTATTCTTTAATCCCTTAAACTTAAATTGAGTCGCCTCTTCTCTCTTCAGCAAATTATAGATCAAAGACAGTTTATATTCTAGAAGAGAAAGAAGCTAAAGCGGACAATTTTATTTTTCAATTGTATAATTGGTAGGAACAGGCGTGCAACCAGGGGAGGGGAAGGGGGGCCAGTCCCCCCTACTCTTATAAAGTGGTCATGCAGCATGCTCCCCCTTAAGAAGGCTTGCCCCCCTGGAATACAGCCAACTTTAAGGATAATTACTCCAAAATTAAAAATTTTGCGCTCAATCCTTTGATTAAAAAGAAGCCGTTTCATATACTTTAAAAAGCCCTTAGATAAAAAATTTGCCCTCAAAACAAATATTTAAGATTTCCCATACACAAATTTGCCCAAACTAAAAAAAGCTTCCCAAAACGAAATTTGTCCCTAAAACAAAGATTTAAGATTTCGCCAAACTGAAAATTGTCCCCTATAAAATAAAATTTGCCCCTGAAATATAAATTTAAGATTTTCTCCCTTAAGTTTTTTCCAAACTGAAAAGAATGCACCCATATATAGAAATTTACCCACAAAATATCCTGAATTGGTAATAAGGTTTAATTTTTTTTTAAGGTTGAGTATAATACACATTTTGCATGCCCCCCCCCCCCATAAAATGGTTAGGGGGGACAAAAAAAACTATTTGCCCTTTGCACCCCCCCCTTGCTGAATGTCTAGTTGCGCGCCTGAGTAGGAATAGTCTTTTAGAATATTTGTTTAGACAGCTTATTATATACAGGATTAGCCACAAAGGATTGGACTTCACAGACGAATTTATGGATTTTATACTGTCTGTTTTCTTATATTTATGGATCCCCACAACGTTAACTTCTTGCTTTATTTGCTACCTTACTTATAAACAATCATTATAATGGGCTATTAAAATACTAGGTTTCAGGTAGAAGCCTTTATTTAATTTTTGAATAGTCGTTACATTTTAAAAGTTTCTTTGGGTCGTCTTTACAGTCTCTCTTTTGCTTTGGAAAAACGGAATGCTTTTTTTGCCTATTAAGGAAAATACACAAAACACGGAAACCTTGCGATTCAAGTTTCTGGAGTAATCCAAAAAATTATTTGGGGGGGGGGGGGTGTCTTTACATTCCATCCGACCATTTTACGACGATTGTTAAAATCATCATCAATCGTGTAGGTGCAAAGCTCATAAAGAAATTGGTGTATCAAGCATTTATCCTCAATTTGAATTAGGCCCACGTTGAATATAGATCCCCTACCTCCCTCCCCCCAGCAAAACCAGGGTTAAGTAAAATATCATGGTAATTTCAAAGTTTATCAAAGAATTTATTTTAAAAAAATGATATTAAGC